TATATATACTTTACTTATATACTATATCTACTTTATTAGTATATATATATATATATATATATATATATATATATAGATGTATACTTTTATACATACATGTACATTTTATAAGCAGAACAAATATTGAATCCGGATGATATGAAGCAACAGTTAAGTATATTATTTCTTTTATTTTCACACTAAACACCACTTCTTCTTTGGTTCAGCATGCTATGTTATCTATATTATGTATGTTCCTTAGATCTTTGACTGGGATTGCGTCCCAGGTTGTCCAGCAAAACTCATCGTGGAAGCACCCCCACCATTCATGAATCCCATAGAGGATTGGTGAGATACTAGAGACTCTTCCTGTTTGTTCTGCTTGCGACGCCGCATGACAACCACTCCAGCTGCAACACAGCAGCAGCAGCACAAGCATAGCAAAAGAATGGCAGCAACGGCACCTCCAATCATCATCATGTTACTCTCCTCCTCGTGAGCGGCAGCGGTGGCACCAGCAGCGGCACCAGCGCCAACAGCGGCAGCCTGGGCAAGGTCGTCGGCCGTGTAACGCACACCAGCTTCCTTGTCCACAGCAACCTCACCAGCATCACGGGTGTTCATACCCTCGAGGGAACGACGACGACGGGCGGATCCGTCATCGTAATCAACCAGGACAGTGAAGTTCATGGTGATAGCGTTACCAGTACGGTCTGAGGTGGCGCAGGCCATCTGGGACGTAACCTGGAAAGGCATAGAGATGGTCTGGTCGTTGGGCTCATATGTCTGACTGAAATCAGCGTTACCAGCAATATCGCCCATGTAGTCCCCGAATGCGGAACAGTCACCGTCAGTGGTGCGTTCAACGTAGGTCACTTCGGCGTTGTACAGGGATACTCCACTGGCGGAAGTATCAACAGTAATCTGCCAGTATGACATAGCTCCAAGATCGAAGATGGTCTCGGGCACAGCGTAATCTGCGGCATCGTATACCTCGATCGACAAGTCGAATAGGGCATCTAGCTGGAACTCCTCTACCTCGCAGAAATTGTTGGTATCAATGAAGAAGATGACGTTGGGCTGGAAGATCTGAGCGTCAGTCAATGCGGGGCAGGCCTGTGGATCACCATTGGCGTCCGACTCCTGGCAGGTAACGATGAGACCCTCAAGCGAGTACTCGCCAGTTAGATCGCACGCCACAAGGTCGAACTCGACATTCTGGATACATTCCGCATCATCAGCAATACCGTTGCAAGCCGGTTCGAATACATAACTAGAAATGGATCCGACCTCGGCCTCGAAGCTCCCTTCTCTCATGCCAACAATACCTACCAGTCCTCCCTCGATGGTGAAGGGAGAAGGCAAGTGAGTCTCCAAGCGAATCTTGGAGTGATTCCAGCCGTCGAAGAAACCTACATCAACCAAGTTGATAGCGGCCTCAATGTCGAATACAGGGGGCTGGGGTCCACATTCGGGATCGGTGGAATACAAGGTGCACGTAGATGGGCAACCAGCATCAGTGTCTGGGTCACAGCCGTTGTGGCTACATGCGGGATCGGTGGAGTATGGTGTGCACTCCGCTGGGCAATCGGCATCAGCAGCGGGGTCACAACCACCGATGTTGCATGCGGGGGCCGTGGAGTATGGGTGGCAACCTTGGGGACACTCAGGGTCAGTAGCAGGATCACAACCTTGTGGATTACAGGCCGGGTCCGTTGATCCAACAACACATGTTACGGGACAGCCATCGTTCAGTGCCGGATCACATCCTGGGGGGTTGCAGATCACTGAAGTCGAGTAAGGGCTGCATGTCTCCGGGCAGTTAGGGTCGTTGACAGTGTCACAACCGGGGTTGCAAGCAGGGTCAGCAGAGCCTTCAGTGCAGGTAACGGGACAATCGGCATCCACACCGGGTGTGCATCCTGGGGGATTGCATGCGGGGGCTGTGGAGTAGGGGTTGCAAGTAGCGGGGCAATTGGGATCCACTCCGGGATCGCAACCAGTGGGGATCACCGAGAGCGTGTACAGGAATGGGGGTAGAGTGACAGGGTTGCTGTTCACAATAACGGTAGAAACTACTCCATCAACTGGGTCACTGTGATCGGGATCGTCAGTCATGTGAACATCACCGATAATGGAAGTGGTGTTGAGAGGAGCAACAACGGTGTAAACTGCGGCAGGAAGATCAGTGAAAACAAACTTTCCTTGCTCATCGGTTTGTGTGGTTGCCACAACGAAACCAGTAGAATCCTGAAGCTCAACGGTCACATCGTTGATGGGCACCAGAGTGTTTGCGATGAGCGTCTCACCAGTGAGACTACCAAGGTTGACAACCGGAGGTACATCATATTTGTAAGGGGGCACATCCGTGTTCGTGTTGGGAACATCAACAATCACAACAGTGTGACCGTCTACATTGTCATCAGGATCGGTAGTAAGAACGACACCACCTCCTAGGTTCAACGGAACATCAACGTAGTGCTCTCCTGGAATGACGTCATCGAAAGTGTACTCGCCTGAAGGGTTGGTGGTAGTGACTTGAGTGGGCTCACCGTTCTGGGGAATGAGAGTAACTGGAACATTCGCGATGGGAGTTCCATCCTCCAAAGTGACAGTTCCGGTAATCGAGTTCTCTTGTGTTAGAACGAAGTTGACATCACTGATCGACTCACCTCGGAAATCAACGGGTGATTGACCGTTCAACACCTTAAGCCCTTCGGCATCGAACTCATCGGCATGTAGCAAGTACTCCTCGGGCTTAGTGATCGTGACAGTGTACACATCGACGTTGAAGATGTCCTCGAACTTGTAGTTACCGTCAACATCAGTAATTGTGGTCTCAACAGTCTCTCCATTGGCGCTGACCAGAGTGACATCCACACCTGAAATCATCTCATCACGTGTGTTACGGACATTACCAGCAATGGTGGCTGGTGGTGTGTAACCGAAATTGACGTTTTTGATCTCGGTTCCAGGGGTTACGAAAAGAGGAGTATCAGTTCCGCTCTTGGTTGGGTCGTGGTAATCCTTTGTTAGAATCGATGTTGGGTCGTTCGGGTTCTCAGGGGGAGTGTCGACGATGTAAGTTGTTCCTGGGATAACTTCCAAGAAGGTGTATGTTCCGTCGGGACCGGTTGTGGTGGTTGCAATCACTTCGTTGGTAAGAGGGTCGGTTAGCTCGACAGTTACTCCTTCAATTGGTTCACCTGTAGTAGTTGTGTATAGTTTACCAGTGATGTTGCTTGTGGGGTCAACTGGTGCTGGTGGTGCAACGTAGTGGAAATCAACGTTCGCGACAGAGTTAGCAGTGGGAGAAATGGGCACAAAGTAAAGACCATCAAGGGCACCATCACTCTCCTCGAAAGGCTCATCTTCAAGAACATCATCGAACAGACTGATCTCAGGAGCAATGACCTGGTAGTCTTGAGGGGATGTGCTCAACTTAACGAAAGCGTATCGTCCCTCGCTATCAGTGACAGTAGAACCGACAACTTCACCGGCACCGTTCTTAAGCTGAACTGGCTCGCCGATGAGAGGGGTATCGAAATCTCCAGCCGTAAGTCGACCAGTAATGGTACCTTCATTGTCGTAAGGGAACACACCAGCATTGCTAGTCTGGCCTCTGGTTACTACTACGCTCGTTTCTCCATCAATAACGGGATCGGGATCTCCAACAAGTTCAACTGTTCCATATGTGGGATCAGTGACCACAGGAACAATCTTCACAATGAATGGTCCCTCAGATACCTCAATGAAAGAGACAACTCCCAGCTCGTTGGTCAACTGAGTGTCTACAACAGCACCTGTCTCGTCAACAAGCTCCGCTTGTACTCCAACCAACGGGTTTCCGGTGGCAGCGTGGATTGCTTTGGCAGTAACAGAGCCGGTAATGGGACCTGTATATGGGTTACATTCCGGTGCTGTTGAATACATGTTACACTCTGGGGGACATCCGTAGTATTGCTCAGGGTCATTGGGGTCGCAGCCTCCTGGGTTACACTCGGGAAGCGTTGAACCTTCCGAGCAGGTCGCGGGACAGTCAGCGATAACAGCAGGGTCGCAACCTCCAGGGTTGTAGCACTCGGGCTCAGTGGAGTACATGTGACACTGTGGGGGACAATAGATATTTGTCTCGATGGTGCATCCGTTGGGCTGACAGGCAGGGTCAACTGAACCGGGTCTGCAAGACACCGGACAGTTCTCATCCACATCTGGATCGCAACCACCAGTGTTGCACTCGGGCTCGGTGGAACTTAGTGCACATTCTCTTGGACAACTGGGGTTGGTGTCGGGATCACAACCACCTGGATAGCATGAAGGGTCAGTTGAGTACAGGTTGCAGGTGGGTGGACACAAGGAATCTGTTGCGGGGTCACATCCGTCAGGGTAGCAAGCTGGATCTGTCGAGTAAATGTGGCAAGTTTCAGGACAGTCTTGGGTGGCTGTTGGGTCGCAACCGGTAGGTTGGCAGCCTACGGCTTGCGAACCGGGGTAGCAGCCCGCCGGGCAATCAGGATCACTGGTAGGGTCGCATCCGTATGTGTTATTCCACTTGGAATTGATTGTGGCCGCAACATTTGCGACAGTGTCAATTTGTACCAATAGGTTGGTCACCGCATTACCTTCACGATCTACGGGGATACGCAAAAACTCATCCTCGTCAATCTTCTCGACATATTCATGCCACTGAGCTTCGATATCTGCTTCGTACGAGGTGAATCGGCCATAGTCCTTGATCGTGGTACCACATCCATTGGGATGTGCTCCTCCAAGTTTATTGAAAGCTACGCTGAAATCCAACTCTGAGCGACAATTGCCCATCAACTTGTAGACTCCGCCAGACATCTTGTCGGGGTGGTCTACAGCATAATGGCAATCCTCAAAGTAGAAGTCATTCAGCTTTCGCTCGTTGTGCCAAACTCCAACATCAGTTCGAAGGTTGACGTTGTTGTTTCGAACATAGGCCTCCAAAATCTCGATAGAGAAATTTGCTTGCAGCGCGTATGGTTCTCCTAAGGCGCAACCCGCTCCACCAAGGGTGCTTACTGTGAGCTTATCCAATGTAGTGGCATATCCTTGCATGTTACCGAAAGCAAACACAGCGTCTGCAGCAGATCCGACAACGAAGTTTGCACCCGCTCCGATAACGGTCAACTTCTTGTCTAGAATAACAGGCGAAGTGACAACATAATCTCCGGCTGCAAGTTCAACAGTGTCTCCATCGGCAGCGTTGGCGAAAACATCCTGGAAATCTAAATTATTAGCGTTCAAGTTAGCTCCTGCAACAGAAGCCGCGAGGGCGCTCAGAACTGACGCGCTATACTTCATAGTGTAAATGGTAAATACTCAAGGAGGCTCTACTTCTCTCACTACAACTGTATGAACCTCAACGTTAGTTGTTGTCTCTATATATATACCAAGAAATAAAAAAATTATAAATGGTAGCGTATTAACGTTATAAATTGAAAACAAAACAAAAATGAAGTTTTGTCAATATAGTTAAGTTTGTTTTTAACAAAATAGCGAGTTAGGCAGAGTCTTTGACTTTTTTAACGGGTTCGGATTGTTTTTCGATATTTCGTTCGTAGAGACCAAATACCAATTTCAAATTTGCTTTCGTCTTGAGCATATTTTAACTTAACTCCACTTTATTAGCCAATAAATACAATCTAACGACATTCCTTTTGGTATGCGTTTAAAACTGACTTATTTGTTACAATATATATATATATTTGTAATTTTTTGGATGTATATACATATATACATATATACTATATAAGGTATGAATTTTTAAAATATGTTTTTAAAGTTTGTTTTTTATAAAATATATAAATATCTGAAACAAGAACGGAATAGACCTTCGTGACTTCGTCTGGGTTCATCATATTTACTTCAATACTAGTCGTTTGTTTTAGTTTTACAAAACAAACAAAAAATATTTATTTACATATTGATATCGTAGTACATATCATTTTGGTTTTTTGACACTTTTTAAAAATATCATATCTACTATTTTTTTTTAGCGTGTAAGTTCATAGTTTTTTAAGGGTTTTATTTTTTAAAACAAATAAAAGTATAAATAGTTTGCAATTTTTGCCATTTTTCTACAAAAACACATATTTATACAGAATTTTGTTTTAACAAAAGGTTTCAAAGGTCTTCGAGTCTGCGAGACTTCGACTTCAACTCCTATTTAGTATTTTTATAACTTTTTTTTAAACAAATTATATTGATTACATGAATGTCTTTATGCGGCACTGGTGACAATAAAATTATTATCCACCTCAGGCCTAGTTTCCTACCAGTCTCATACTTGTACTTTTTCGAGTTTACTTTGGTTTTAAGATGTAATTAGCGTGATTTTAGCCCTTTTATTGCACTTGTTGTATTAGTTCTTTGTTGGCCTCAGAAGAGAGGTCAACGTATGTTAGACACGAATAGTGTCAACTGTAAAACCATAGGCGAATCTGAAGCAATATCAAGACAGAGGATGCCTATGTACATGTGTCTAACTGCTAACATATGTCAAGCCCTTAAGACCGACAAGGACCTAACATAGGTGCAACAAATGGGTTGTATCCGCGCTACAATATCCAACATGCAAGTCAAGCGCGACAGATAACAAACAAACCGGCAGAAAACAAACACATCTCACAAGTGCTTATAATCACGCTAAATACATTAATACACCTATATTTTTAAATAGCAAATTAAACTCGAAAAAGTATATGTATTAGACTGCTAGGAAACTGATTCTTAGGTGGTTAATAATTTTATTGTCATCAGTGCCGTATAAAGACATTCATATGGTGCAGTTGCTTTTAAAGATGCTCCATCAAAAAAAAAGTACTTAAAGTCTATTTTAAACATTGAAGAAATTCGAAATCCCAAAATCGAGTTTCACAGTGGTCATTGTTTTAATGAAAGGCTTGAAAAAATTCGGCCATTTATTTAAATGAAGTGGCCATTATACTGACCATGGGCGGCACAAATTGAACTTGGGAGCGGCCATTATATTCTAGGTTCTACAACTACATATGGTACATATATACATAATAGGCTGTCGATTTGAAAACCTTGAAGCCTATGTACGTTAATAAATAAACAGTTATACAGCGCTATATTAAACACATAGTGTTATTTTATTAACAATCTTTTCAATTATTGACCGCCATCTCGGTTGTGACAATGTCGTACACATTCTCAGGCACCCGACGATGTGATGTGTATTTTTCTTTAAAAACTCCACAAGCTGTAAGCGTTAAGCCTTTATCAGTCTGATTGTATCCAATCTAGCTCCATCTAGAGAGCTTTAAAAACATTCTTCTGTAGTCCTGCCGATGTGTCATCACAGCGCTTTATCATGTCGTTTCGCTCACATATCTCCTTTAGCAAAAAATTCTGGCCTCGAAAATCTTCGTTCTGGTCAAAAATGCATGTACAATCTTTGTTGCAGTCGAACTGGCACTTTACGTCCTTACCTTTATCTCTTAGTCGCCGTCTTTGGTGGCATCGTGTTTTATAAGGCATATGACTACAAACGTATGTATGACCACTACTAAGGCGATCGGTCACATGAATCACACTCACTCAAATAGACTTCTATGTCTGATGGAATGATGTTTTGAAAATTGTGACACTTCGACAGACTTTAGAGATGACCGGGCATGTCGATTTCTGACCTCAAAAGTCCAAAACTCGCACTGGAAGGGTACATACCAAGAAAGCGGCCAATATTTCCAAATTTTGTCAGAATTGAATTTTTGAACCAAGTGTAAAATCCAATTTTCCGCTATCAAACTCTCGAATCGGGTCCGTATTTGATGTCCCGTGCCCCCTGTCAAAAAGCCAAAAGGGTGATTTGGTGGAACATCGTTTAAATTTTAAAAAAAGGCAACCGCACCATAAATACACCATATTTATCATTATTGATGTTTGAAAAAAAAGTCTGTTGTTTAGCTCTATTGAATTGTTGTTGTTCCATTTTTAAAACCGACATACTCCAATGTAGTTTGGAGTCTTTGGAGTTTGGAGTTTCGATCCATACTTCCATAGAATCCTTAGTCCTACAGACCTATATAAAAACCAAAATTGAGATTTGGGCTCCAGACTCCATTTCAGTCATTTTTTAACAAATGAAATATTAATTTCTCAAATGTTCGTATTTACACAATAAAGAGCACAATTTAAAAAATTCGGATAACACTTATTTATTGTATTTGTTCTGTTTTTAGTTTTTACCAAAAATGCAAAACAAACATTCAACAAAAGGTATGCCTTTTGCTTCCATTCATTGGTTGTTAACTAAAGGTCAATTAAAATTTGTTCAACTCTACGTACAGAAATAACTCTATTCACTGTTTGAACTTTGTCGATATATTTGAATATTCCGAGTTCCAAAAATAATAATTTGTTATGTCAATTAATATTTCCCACATGTACATACGACACGATATTTATATTCCTTGGCGTATATATAGCGACGATTCCCAGCTAATGATTCATACAGTTGTAGTGT